ACAGGCCTATATTTCTTTGGGTGTAGGTATATGGTATAAAAGTAAATTGAGAGATCCAGTCCTAGCAAACAGCTGAGTGCAAGCCTTGTGATAAACCTTGCTTTAAATACAATTTTTAAGTATAATTATTTTGATTATAATGTAAATTATAGACTTCATTGTATTTTTTTTTTAACTCTTAATTGATCACAACATACTTTTTTGTTTGTACCGTTTTGCATGAAATTTACTCATTTTCATCATATTGAAATAAAATAATTTTGATTCTCAAACTCATTTTCAGATTTTAACAAAAATAAAATATAGCTGTCAGACTTTTAAAAGCAATCTCCTCCCTTTCACTTGCAGAAACGCATTTCACTCTCGGAAAGATGGATATCTGCGTTTGCCGACATCTGAGCAAGGAACCGCACCTCTACCACTCGCCCGGAACCGTTTCCTTCCTCACCCCTGGCAAAACCGAAAGAGGTACTAGATGTATATATAGTCCCCATACAAAATGCACAATGGTCGATTTGAAATCGGAGTAACAGCAATTCCACCCTCTTGGACCGATAATCGATGACGCAGAGGAATTTTAAATTGCTTTCACCACAATCACCTCCACTCTGAAAAATATTCCTTTGATATACAATGCAGAGAGCCCAAGTGCGTTTGCCAACAACACACAAAACACACACCACCGGTCGATAGCCACTCACTAATGATTTTGAATCGCTAAAATATGTGCAAAATACACAAAACGTTGAAAACGTTTTGCACAATGCTTTTAGATTTGCCTTTAAATTTGCCAGGGTTTCTGATTTTAATGAATTCAAAGTTCTGGATTTATTAATTGAAACTATAGAAAGATTTACTTACTTTTATTTTCAATTTGTACTAAAAATATGCAGGAGTAGTATTTATATGATGTCAAACTGAAACCGATGTAAAAAAAAAAAAAAAATTAAATTTTCATGTTAAGCGGGTTGCGTATTACGCAAAAGGCACAAAAATTCTCTCTCTGTCTCTCGCTCGTCAAAGAAAATTACGCCGCTTGTTTACTTTGCAGCGGTGGCAGCAGGCAGGGTCACTACTCCACTATGTAACAGGTGTGTCGCTCGCTTTCATTGCGGAATTATGACCGACGTGTGCGCGGAATTGATTACTGCTAATGAACTTTCTGCACATTTGAACTCGCGCTGCGAAATCAAATTTGCTCCACGCCGGCATATCGAGAGATGATTCAATCCAAGGAGGGTAGTTAATTAAGATTGCGACGCGTAATCCAATAAAGTACGCACGGTGCAGTGAGAATAGACGATATTTCATTACAGCTAAGCGCAGTGGATTTATATCTGCTCATAATAAGATGGAAGGAACATTACTCACTTTATCATTTGATCGTGAAATATATATGATCAGAAGGAGAATTTAAAATTTCATTATCCAGAATTATCGACCTTTATTTATTGCTGTTATTCACCTGGTTAGTCAACATCCTGCCATGCTCTTTTCGGAGCTAATTGGCAGGATAAGTCTATCAAGCATAGCTAAAAATAATTATGTATTTTACGGTATCTTAACCTACAAATATTAAAAAATAAAAAATATTATAATGTAGTTTTATTTTTTGTTTTCATTTAGTTAAATTATTTTCTTGACCAAACTTCAAAGTTGTTTATAGTTTAAAAAATTAATTTTTTATTTATTTCAGAATACTATTTTTACTTTTTAACTCCTTATAATTTTTTTTAAGGAATGAAATGAAATATTTTATTTAGGGTTTCCATGAGCTAACAATAAGCATCACAACGAAAAAAAGTAGCTTTAGCGAGTGTGCCAGAAAGTGCCGTTTTAGCATAAAAGTAATATTTAGAATATTTAGATCAAATTTTTATTAAATTGTTTATTTTGTAATTTTCAAATTTTGAATCCTTCATCCTAATCATCATAAATTAATATATTTTTTAGTGAATCAAAAAATGTAATGCAGGAAATCAAAATAAACGCTAGTTGAATAATAGCTTAATTCTTTCGTCTTGTTAAAAGTAAAACAAATAACCAATTTTTGTGTAATAGTAACATAAGATTAAATTTGGGGCACACAATCGTCAACTGACAATGAGCAATATTTTTAAGCCTTTTTGGAGCATGTCGGCGAGTTCTTCAGCACCTCGTCTGATCGCATTCGATGGAGGCAAACCTATAAATAGAGCAGCGCGCCGTTCGAGAGTATGCACACAGGAGCCATAATGGAGGCATATCAACGTGTGTGCACGGCGCTGTGTGCAATTTCATTAATTACGATCCGCGTGTCCACAGGGACCCGTTGAATGCACCGATCAAGCAATATTAAATTGCATTTAGTCGAGATGGAGGCGTCAAATTAGATGCTGGGCTAAAAGGGTTGCGACGCTTCTTGTTCGATTTGACGTCACGCAGAGCTTTTTGGCTACTTCGCAACTCATCTGAAAAATTAAATAAAAGAGGCAGAAGAAGTTTCTTAGCTGCGGTGACGTCTGCAAGCGATTCAGATTACCCGAAGTGTTTTTTAGCCGCGCGGATTTGACGTTCTTAGAGGCGGAGAAACTCTATTATGCGATTTAATCTTATCAGCACGACTTGACGGGAAGTTCCCGCCTGAGACGGATAAGTTCTTTTCATTACTTATTTTAGAAATTATATAATTTTAAATAACAAAAATATTGTAAAAATTTGTACTAATATATCAAGAAGAATAATTATATGACTAAATTTTGTTTAATCATGAAATTATAGTAAGATCAACTCATTTTGTTTGAATATTACATTAAATTTTTAATAGGTTTTATTAATGCATTATGATTATAATTATTTTGACATTTTAAAACCGCATTAATTCTATATATGGTTTTCATTTCAATTTAATATCTGTTCTATACATATTTTAATAAATTTCTTGTAACAATTAACAAATGTCAAATCAATAACTTGTCTGCTTAAAACTTAGCAATTTCAATTTCAATTTCAATTTGTTTTATTCTCTACATAACAAGTCAAAATAAAATACAAAAAAATTTTTAGGCAATTCATAAAATTACATTTGTAGAGAATCGGCAGCCAATCCTGGTGAACAAGTCACTAAAGCTCGTAGGTCAAGATTGGGAACCTTGAACTACTCGCCGAACTGGGGCGGTAAATAAAATGTAAAATTGACGTTTTTATTATTTTCGTGTGTGTGCAAGTTAACAATAAAAATTGTTCTGTTTAAAAAAATTTAATTTACTTACTTGTAGTAGCAAAATAAAATTTAATAATTTAAAATATTTTATAATTATATTTAAAATAATAAGGTAAAATAGATTGAATACATCGAATATATTATAAAATATTAAAGAATAAGATGAAAAATTTAAACAATAAATTATTTATTTACAGTTTTTTAATGTGTCACACATCACACTTTAATGTTTTCTATTTAGCCTTAACAAAATTATAAATAGACAATGTTTAACACTTTCTAATCATATCATAAATATTAGTATTGTTTGTTGCTTTTATAATTTTTATTTTCTAGCTGTTTCTAGTGAGAAGTCGCAAAAGTTGTAAGAAATTCGTTCGTCACTGTGACCTGTTTGCGAGTCAAGAATGCTTTTTTGTTTTAAGTGAAAAGACTTCGAAATGCGTGTTTAACTTTTAATGTGTGGCGAGTGCCAAGGGGCAGCGAATTTTAAATAATCTCAACTTGATACAACAACCTTTAGTGCGTCTCTGTTTTGACGCCAGCGGCTGCGTTTCGGGTCATCTGCCGGCGCCGCCATTCACAATGAGAAAGAAAGGAACAAAGTTTGCCTCAACTTTCAGTCGCTCGCTGGCCAAACCAACAACTATAAGTTCGCTCATTATTCCAAGAGTGTTCTGCTCGAAGCGTGATTGGCACTTAATTGTTTGAATCGCGTAATCTACAGCCTTATAGGCGAAGTTTGAATTCGCGGCCGGGAAAAAAATAAGTGGAGTCTTTTATCATTTTCCCCTGAGTAAGTTGTACTGATAAAACTTGGAGGAAAAGGAAAAAAACTTTTTATTGCAGACATATACGGTGGAATCTCATGGTCGCTATATATAACATAACGTTATTGATTGAAATATTAAAATACCAGCTTTGCGAACGATTAATTAACCATGTAAGTTTTAAAAAAGAAAATTATTTTGTTTACGAACTAGTCAAAAAAGTATTGAAATATGTAAAATAAAAAATAATATTTGTCAAAAGAAATAATCAAAACTCTTAAAATGTTGTCAGCAAATATATTTGAAAATTCCCTACAGCACATTTCTATTTCTACTCTCAGTTTCCATAATCGTTTCTTATAATCATAGAACAATAATTAAATACTTTATTTAATGTACTTAATCGTTTTAAATAATTTAATTAGATTATTTGAATTTTTAATACACCATTTATATTAAAATAATTCCGGCTCTTGCAATAATTTCCCTTGAAGAAAAATCCCGTACCGCGTCATTTCAGAAAGTCCAACATAAAAATTGCACATTTTGCGGGCTCACCACAATCGAAGATTTGCGGAAGCTACGAGTGACGTCACAAGGTGCTCACAGTCTGCTTTTGCAGACTGACAAGAGTGCACGTGCTTTGGGAAGCGCGTGTTCCTAGAAATGTATGTTGAGTAATATCAATGTGAGCTTGCGACTATAATAATATTATAACCCGACAAATATTCTTGCACTGCTGCGGATGTGACGTGAAAATCAGTGGGTTTACCACACATGTACGATTTTACAAAAGGCCATTTCAAGAACGAGAATTATTTCTGTATTTTCTGATCAATTTGACTCGTTTGAAACTACTGAACTACATAAATTGAATTTGAAACCTCAATTTTAGCTCGTATCATTTTTTTTTATAAATTGTTTAAAAAAGTTTATTGATAATTATGTCCTTTTCGTTTGGAAAAGGAAATGTAAATATGTAAAGTTAAAAATTACAATAAAAAAAGCTGAAGGCAAAATTAACTCACTCTTTTTCTTCTTTTTGGAAGAGCTGGTGGACTGGAAAATCTGCAGTCTGCTTCTGCCGCAACCCATGTCTAGCCGAGCGGAAGCACAAACAAGTTCATGCCACTACACCTGCGAATGTAGCCTGGACACTATGGCACGTCCTGACCGACGGACAGCATTTCACCGGACGACCAGCAGTTGCTGGCAATCAATCCTTTTGGCGCGCGTCATGCCACCACTTTGGGGACCGGAGGCGGTGGAGGCGGTCGGACTGCCGCGTCTTGAGTGCCGGCCGCTTTTCTACTCGCTCAAGTCCGCGCAGCTGGGGTTTTTAGTAATTCGAGTGCGCAAGTCCCGCCGCCGCCGCTACTGTGTCGCTCTCGCAATAATTTCGCACACACCCCTAGCTGCCTGCGTTTCGCGAAAAGCGAAAAGCGGGCGGGCAAGATAGGAAGAAGCAGCAGCTTCTGTCCCCGAGTTGAATTAGCAGCAGCGGTTTCTCGCTTCTGCGTCGCTCCCTCGATCTCTCAAGATTCATTCAGGGGCGCATCTTGAATACATTTTTACACAAAATCTTAAATGTTATGTTATTTTTCATGAAAATAAATAAATAAAATAAAAAATTGTAATATATTATTGGGGATGTTTAAACTTATGTATAATATATATAATTTATCATTTAAAATTATTAAAATATTATTAATTTATTTTTTAAATTAATTTATTAGTTTTTTTATTACTTTTTTTTTAATTTTTAGGAATTATATGAAACAAACTATAAATCCTTGATAACTTATTGAAAATCAATAATGAGGCTAGATACGTAATAAATAATGTGTAATTGTGAGCAAAAGTAATTAATAGTACAATTGAAAAATTGCTCTATTAATGCGTGATAGTGGCAAATGAATATTATATATATATAAAAAAAAAATGTAATCGCAGGTGTGAACTTGAAACAATGTTAATCAATATTTATTATGAATTAAGCATACGTCTATGTACAGCATACAAAATTGTTTCAAAAAATAAATATTTGTATTGAGGATATTGAGATAAATATGAAAAACTGCCTATCTGCATATTTAATTTTGTTTAATTCTCCAAAATAAATGGTATACTAAATTTTATATAATTACATGTAATATTAACTATATTATTAATTTTTATTGATCGCTCCAATTGGGTACCATTTAGGCAATTTATATAATCATTGTTTTAGTTGTAATCCATTCTTTCAGAATTATTTTTCTTGCCTCATAATTATATTCTCAACGGAAATAGACACAAAACAAATGAAGTTTCGTTTGTCGCTTGGGAATAACGTCTGCCCCTGCTCTTTCTTGCCTAATTGCTGGCAGCAACTAATTTTTATCACTGAGCTCGTCTCTTTTCTCTACAGCGAGTTCCCTCAATAACTCTTCGTTTTCTTGCTCCGTAAATCTCTTGATGCAATCAAGCGCTTTTCTCTGAAGCAGGCGGCGTGTTTTTCTGCAGCTCTCTTACTTAATTGATTCCCACACCCTTCAGACAGGCATTCAGTGAGCTCATGATTAATGCTTTGGGCTAAAACTTTTAAACGTCTTAATTTTATACAGAACCTTATAATATCAATTTAAGTGTCTCATCAAATAAATAATTAAATTTACCATTATGTAATTCAAAATGTGATATTTCATAATTAAAAAATAAAAATAATAATTTCTTCCATTAGAAGTCAATTGAAATGATGCTACGCATTTCTTTAATTTTTTTTATTATTAAATTTTTAGGGATTGTGAAGAATTAATAACGCGTCAATTCCTTGAAACAAAATAGTTTTTATTAAATTCAAGATCAAAATCAGGGAAGACGCCCCATCCTTGTTAATCAATATATGACCTATTTTATTCTTTAAAATTAAATTAAATTACCTTAAATATTATTATCAATAGAAATTATAATGTTTTGTTTAATATTTTAAACAGTTTTATCTCGGGTTCAGCCAATTCGTCAACATTCACGTGATTTGCAATTGAAAATATAACCTTTGCATAGTATAATGATATATAATAAGCTTTGATTATACAATATAATTTTCATCTCCTTAATTACCACAGCTCCCTATAGACAGCAATTCATGGTCTAAACATTAACACGAAATTTAATTTATTTAATTATTGAGTTTAAAATTGCTAAAAATTATCAACTGGAATCAGGTTTGATTTCTCGAGGTACTTGGATCAGGCAAGTGGCGTGTTTTCTTTGTTCATTTGAGCACTAAATTTGTAAAAAAATCAAACAATTACAGAGAAGGGAAGGGAGGAAAATTTAAATAGTGCAAGGGAACAAAATTCAGTCTAAACATATGAGAAATGGAAATGCTGGAGTGCGCCTTTTTCACAAACACAAAAATTAGGCCATTCTCAAGAGGTGAGAAACTGAAATTTTTCAAAAGAAGGGAAGTTAATGTTGTAATAATTTTTATTCCGGAAGAGCCACTAGCCAAATTAATTTGGAAAAAAACATAAACCTGGGCGGAAATGAATGTGATTATTCCAATCCAGAAGATAATTGACAACGTTATTGGAATTATTGCCTGCCGAAAGTGGCAGTTGAGGAGTATTGAAAAAAATAACAAAACATTGAGACACATAATTCCAACTTTGTCCTTTTGACGAAAGGTACTACACAAGAAAGTGATTTATTATCTAAACAGACAATGCTCAACACTGACCATGCTAGGAGTGAAATAGAAGCGTGTTGGTTTTCTGGATTTCTCTCTCGTAACAGGAATAATGAATTCAATTGCAAATCCAATCAATATGTTTTGAGTCATCACATAGAAACTATCTGCATAGCGCACAATAAGTAACTCACTATACACATTTCAATCAGCCAAATGCAAAACCAAACTTTTTCTTCTTCTCGTAATCTGTGTTTATGGAGCGGGCGAAACTTACAAAAATACAGTCAATTTGTGCAAATCCAAACTTTTCTTTTGTTCCTGTTGTACTCTCGTCGTATTGTAAGAAGAGATTATTTTTTTGTGTAATCATTTTGTATAAATGTGTGAGTGCAGTTGGGGATTTTAAATAATACAGATTGAAACAAGTAATTCATGTGTCACAATGAAAGAAAGGAAACTAATGCAAATATTTAGTACTTTTTATCAGAGAAATGCAGTGCGTGGTGAATCTGACACTCATTCGGCTCTTCCTTTTTCTGTTCGTCTTTTCTGAGTTAGTTCTCCTTAGCCGGGAAAACTGACTGCGTTGGGGCCACTTCCATCAGCAGCTGCAGGAATACTGTCACGCGCTCTGAAATTATTTCAATAAAAAATTTTATGCTTTGAAAGAGCTCCAAATGAGATATAAAAGCCCTCGGTCTGAACCCAATAAACAAACATTTGCAACTAAAAATGTCCATTATTCTGTTTGAAGTTTAACTAAGAATAAATTTTCAAAAACTCTCTGAATGAATTACATCAAATTAAAAAGAGTGATAAATTCCTGATAAATAAATGTCCTGAAAATAGGTTGATTCAAATTTTAGAAAATCAATTATGTACTTTATTCTGCATAATTTTGATTTAGTCGTTAGCTGCATTTAGTTTTCAGCTTTTTGTTATTTGGGGCATAGATTGAAACATTAATATAACATATTATCAGAAGATGCTTTCAAATATAAACCTGGAGGTCTATTAAATTCATATTTAGTCAATGATATAATGACTTAGTCCCATTTATTTATAATCACGCTTTATTGAAAATAAAACTAAAATTATTTTGTATAAAATAAAGTAAGCAACACATAAGAAAATTATGTAAAAGAGGTATTTATTAAAAAAATTAACATATTATATAATTTAAAATATCTAAAGTCATTAACAAATGTTATTGTTAATAATATTAAATTCTTTAAAATAATTTAGTACATAACTAATATTTTGATATTTGTATGTAAATGAAAATTAATTTAATTTATAAAACTCAGAATTGAAAGTGAACGTTTATAAAAAGTACCAAAAAAAAGCATTATACAATAATAAAGAATATTTACCCATTGTTTTGGAGGTGTAGCCAATGTGAACAAATGGCAGATAGAAGACCAGGCCGCTGATGATGAATAAAAGCGCATAGAGGTATTCCAACCTCGGCTGGTCAATGATTGGCGCAATGACCAAGTAGACCGAAATAACTAGCACAACCACGGGTACCACGATCGGAACCTAAAAACATCGAATTCTGTGAGTCCGTCCTTGCACAAACAGTGCCTAATTTCAGGAAAGATTTTTCTTTTATATTTACATTCACTTTTCTAACACAGAGTAAACTAACTTGGAAGAAAAACAGCTTTAGTCTTAACTTTTGAATTACTTCTTCCGCCAAAGGGCTCCACTGAAACTGGCTGGGATTTGAAGCGCACTGAGGTTCAGATCCTCATCTGAGTTTCAGTCGCTCCCCAAGGAGATTTCTTTTACTTATTTTTTATTTTTACGTAAAGCTCTTTTTGAGAATATTTCTAGCTAAGTTTAGGGTCGCTACAGATTGAGATAGATTTTGGCTAAAAATTCGAGTCGCGCTGCTTGGTGACCACGAGGACCACGCTAATTACTTTTCAAGCCACACCGGCTGGCCTGCTCTCACCCAGAGGGCAACTAGAAAACACAACAGCACATCATCATTACAAGGCCCCCCACCCCCGAAACTCCCGCAGCTATACACATTATTTAATTGTGCTCACTTCTTGCAAAGTACATCAATCAAACACACTTAACTTTAGCATCAAAATCCAATGACAATTACCCTCTTTAACTGATATTTGCCAGAGGATTTTTTTTTCAGGAACATTTTTTGTTTTTAAATTTTTATGCCTTGAGAATAAAATGTTGATTATACTTTTACCTCTGTTGAGGATGTGAAAGTATTGGAATAATAGAAACAAACGGTCTTACCTTGTACGGTCTCGGCGCGTCCTTTTTCGTTTTCCTCATCACAATCAGAGCGAGCATGGCGCCGCCGTAGAAAATCCACGCCGTGAAAGAGAAGAAGTCGATCAGAGAGCCGATTGAGCCAGAGGTAACCATTATGATCGCAATCAGAGACTGCAGAAAGTTAGTTTTTGTCAGTATAAATTGATAAAATCTTTGAATCAATTCTTGTTTTATCGAAATGGGAGATGCAAGTTATCACTAAAATAGCCTATTTGATTTAATAGGCAAAAAAAAACTTGTGAAGCTCAAAGTCATCGCGGAGATTTTTAATCCACTTAAAATTTATTTCTTGATTTTCTGCTTCTCTCAAAGTTTCTGAAAAAGTTTTGAAAGTTAAACTGATTTTTTATTTTTGATAAACCCTCTCAATATACTCGTCAGATATCACATTATTTAAAAATCACATAGATTGTTAGAAGCAAAATTAGATCTTTTTACAAAACGATTTTTCGAACTACTATACGAGGTAAATTTTGAAATTAATGATAAAAACGACGAACGAAATTTTAGGGCGTTGCCGGCAAGAGTTAAAGTTAATTTATAACAAGGGAGTAGGCAAACCGCCAACCTAGAGAGATTTATAAATTTTTCGTGCTCACGTGAAAAATGAGTCCAGGTGCTGGAGTGAGTCGCCTGATGTGTACATAAGAGAGAATGTTCATCAGGTGCCCTTCGCGACTAGCAGCAAAACACAGCCTGTAATTAATGATTTTTTTTTTTAAATTTTTCAACTAGAAATATTTTTACTCACCGTCCAGCAGCGAAAAGTGTTCCGTTGGCAGATCCAAATGTGGAAATAGCCACGGAGAGTGGGATTAGCCAAGCCATCACACCCAAAATTAAATTACCAAAAGTCTGGAAAAAATATAATATTTTATTTTATGCAAATTGTAAGAATTAATTATTCAGAGACTCAAATGATTGAAGTTAAAAGCGCAAAACTTTATATTTATTTATACTGTAAATTTTTCAGGGACTAAAGAAATTTGCAACTGAAATAAGAAATAAATAAACATTAAGGAGAAATTTTAAAATATTTCTACCTTCCAGTTTTTGCTAGCCTTTAGAAAAAAAACAAATCTTTTTGAATAAAAGAACATAAATTTTTAATTTAAACCGCTTTTTTTTAGCAAAACATTCCTGGTTGAATAAACTCCAGGCCATTGCATTAAACTAGTCGAGGAGCTAATCTGACAAAAGTCAGGTTAAAGGGATTTGTGATCACTTTTAATTTAACTAAAGTTACTAAAGAATTATATTTTTAATTTTTATTGATAATTAAAAAGATATTTATATAAATTTTTTGTAAAATTTGAAGTTTGAAGTTTTCATCATAAAAATTCTTTACCACCGGTTTCTTCTTATTGAACGTCTTCAAGGAGAAGCGTGAGGCAGCAATATTTTGCACTTTTTGCGCACAAGAGCAAGTGTAATAAATCGATAGTTACCACAGCAACAGCTTCTGACTCCAGAAGTGCATCTGGTGACATCACAGTCAAGTAGGATACGTTGATCAGCACATAGCATATCGTAACCATTGGAATTGCGATAATTATGGACAAGGGCAGATTCCTAGAAAAAAAATGTGTTTGCCAAGGAATTTTTTAGAATAGAATAATTTTATACCTAGATGGGTTTTTGATCTCCTCAGTGACGTAGTTGAGGTTGTTCCAACCATCGTACGCCCATAGTCCAGTGTAAAATGCAGTCGCTATGTCTGACACTGACGCGCTAACTCTTTCTTCAGAGATGGGCTTGAATGGATCACGCAGGTTTTGAGTATTGCCTGCGAAAATACGGTGGGAGTTTTATTAAAAAAATAAAAACGATTACAACAGAAATAAACTTTGAATTTTGAAATTAAAGAATGCAATTAATGTAAATTCTAAAATGTTGAATGTTTTAGAATAAAGAAGGGCAACTCAAATCTTTTTCATTCATTTCCATTGATATTGTGTTTTTCACAGTATTTGCCTGTACATATTCAAATATTTATTATAAACTGTGCATTGAACGATAATTCATCTAAAATTTATTTTTTTTTAACTGTGACATATCAAATAGAGATAAATTAATTCAAAATTCTGTTGAGTGAAATAAATGTATCTTTTATATTAAGAGACGCTCTCAGAAAAATCCATTAATTCCTCGCAACATCTGTTCACATTAATTTTATATGAGTTGCGGACAAGCACGCAAACCAGATTAACGCATTTTTATACATCAATACAACTCTATAAAAAGGCACGTGGGGTTTCGTGATTGTGACAAATCGTTATTTTTCTGTACGATACAAAATCATAAATCGCTATAATAATTTAACGATGCACTCGAATGTGCCGAAAATACTCAAGGGCTGCCGAAGAGCGATCCATTAGACGCGTAGAGGGGCGGCCGGTTTTTGTCAATGAGAAAAAGGGTTGTCGCCCAACTCTCATAAAGCACTCCCGTTCTCACTTCGCGAGACAGCTCCTTCGGCTGGCGTATGAGGTTATTGATTTCTGCAGCACATTTCTAAAATTAGGCTTCCCCGTGAGAAGTGAATTGGCCCATTTCGAGACGCAGGCCGTCTCCAGGCAACTCTAATGAAATTACGATCTCTACCACTTTATATCTCAGACAAACCGAGAGAGCAGTTTGCACGCGTTGTTATCATTTGCTTCTGCGGCTTTGTTTGTTCTTTTACGGGCCATTTGTTGCGGTTTAGTGAAACGACCGAGCCGCGAAAATCGGCCATGTGCACAAAAATAATCAGCAAACTGGCGATTTATTATTGCACCCGTCGACTTAAAAGAAAATGTTGTTAAATTTTTAATTCTTGCAAATAAAAAACTAACTAGAAAATTAGATCTATAGGTAAACTCAAACAGTTAGCTTCTATTTTGTGGTAGAATTTCACGATCGAAGGTTGATTCATGGTGATTTGAATTTAAAATTGGCTTTTCCTTGATGGGTTTTTGTGAGTTGCTTATTGTGTCAGAAAAACAATATCCTGCTCTAAATAATTTTTCACGAAAAATTGTTAATTTGGAAGAAAATATTTTTATAAAATTGATTGTTGTACTATTTTTGTCAAAATAATTTCGAAAATAATAAACGAAATCAACAAATGAATTTCCATAAGTTTTATGTTATGCTTCAGGCTAATAATTTCCAGAGCAACTAGAGCATCATTCACGATTTGTTTTGAAAAGCAACGGAGCCGCGGGACAGTTGAATAATCCAATCCACCCCCGCAACCCGCAGACAGAATCTGAAAGCTTATAAATAAACTGCAAAGCTGCTGCAAACTTGTCGTCGTTCAATACAGGCCACTTTGTGGTGCGAAAATGTGGGTCTGTGTGTCAGATGTGCGGCCGGGACCAGCCAACCGAATCCGCAGTGCACCGGGGGCGCCTTTTCCACCCCCGGCTTTGGAGCGAAAAATCGATTCCGCCGAATGACGTCACCGTCCTGATGCAATTCAACGGCAGCGTCCTTAGCTCATTCACTCCAGCCTAGCATGTGTGTTTATTTTTATTTTATCGCCCACGTGCTCGCGGCTCGTGCGACTTATTTCGAGGCGAAATTACTTTTAAGTTCATGCGTGAGGATAATCGACTCTCCCTGAAAATTTCATGAGCTGCATTCCGGACAAAAATTTTCGGATGGGAAATTTTGTGAATGGAAAAGGTTTGCATGTCCGCGAGCCAAGTGTGTGCTTTTCTCATTTCCTTTTTCATATTTACTACAAAGCACGTGGCTTCCATTTGGCTCATGTCACCGCTTTTCACTACCGAAATACACTCTTGCGCTCAATGGGAAGCAACGAAATGGTGTGCGTAGCTTTTGGGTCACTCTATAACTGCTAAAACTTAAAACGCTACATTATTTTGTATGTCGAAAAATTAAATTTATTAATAATGTAAATTTTTTAATTTGTATTAAAAAGACCTGTAATTAAAACATTTAAAAAAGAACAATATGAAAATAAAAAAGCAAAAAGATTGAAGAAAGAAAGTTATTACCATTAAGAAGGCCTGTTTGTAATTTGCTAAATTATGATTTAAATTGGATAAACAAGTACGTAATGGTCGATGCTGGGTGGTATATAATTTTCAAACTGAGTATCCCTCTGTAAATTTAAATGTAGATAGGAAAAAAATTATTTTAGTGTTCAACTTAAAGTTTAACGCGAAAAAATTAAATATATTTTTCATTATTCAACTTGAGAGTATTCTTAAAAAATGAATAACATGCACGAAAATTCGCATAGTTGCTTCAAACTTTACATCTTTATACATAAAACTTTTTTCAGATAAATTTATATTTATTATTTTAATATAAATTATTTTAATTCATCCAAAACAATGATTTGCCACAATTGTGAAACAATCTCTTCCGGATGGAGCAATGCAGTAATAAATGCAAAATCGTTTCACTGATCTGCATTTTGCACGGGTCGTTAAACCAATGTGCAGATTGAAGCTCGAGTTGATTACGATTCGGTTCAATGCTCGATTTCACGCTCGCACTCACCTTCCATCAATTTATACATTCCGCCGCAGATGATGACGAAAATGGCAACCATTTTCGCAGCCGTGAATACGTTCTGCACGCCCGTTGCCAGGTTCACGCTGTAGCAGTTGATCACCAGAATCACAACTGCAACAATAAACATAAAGTCAATGGCGATGAATCAACTCATGTGTATTCCAAATCGGTAACAACGGCATGCCATAAAATCAAAAATTTATTCCCACGTGTTGTCCGAGTTTGTTATTCACGCCTTTCTGAATATCTCTTTATCTCCCTCTTTACTACTCTATTTTTTATAACCCTTTCTTTTTTTCTAAAAAATTCAGATCTATGAAAAAGAACAATCCACACCATTTCTTAAATTAGCTATTTTTTTTTCTAAAATATCGTAAAATAAAAATTAATGCTAAGGAGCATATTTTTTTATTCATTCATTATTTAACACCATTTTTAGCAGTTTACCTGCTCTTTTTTTATTTCACCTTTCAATTTTTAAAAAAATTTTTTGAGAAAAATTCTAGAAAATATCTACTTAAAGTCTGAAGATTGTGAGGCAAAAGAGTAAGCACTGGAAATAGACCCTGATCTCAAAAATTTTATGCATGACCGTGTTTGTGTATTTGGAAAGGCTGTGGACTGTGTGCGTCGTTTTTTTAACCGCCCAATATCTCAAACCGCTGCTGGATTTACGCATGACAAAGAGCAACACTATGCTCTACAGGAAAATCTCTTTTGACGTCAGCGTAAATCTCTTTTGAGATGAATAAGGGTGATGAAACTACGCAAGTTGGGAAACTATAAATAGAATAGTAAAGCAATAAAAATTGTAAATTATAAATAAATACAGCTTAATATAAATTGATTCATTGAAATCTCTTAGCAAAAATGATATCATATTATTTTATTGACTAATTCATTATTAATTCATATATTCATTATTAATGGCAGGTACATGTCAAGTCCCAGAAGAAAGAGTCAGAGTCCATGTTTATGATAATATTTATATAATTGTTTGAATGTCTTTTTCTATTTATAGTAAATATTAGTATCCAGATTTAGTGTTATATGTTTTTTATGTGTAAAATGCAATAAAATGTATTAAATCTAATAAATTAAACCAAAAAATTAATAAAATCAGTATATGCTAAGAAAATTATAAATTTGTTTTAAATTAAAAAAAAATAGGGTAAAACCCTATAATAAAACTATAAAATATATTAAACATATTATTATTTAAAATGTTTTTAATGCTTACAATTCTAAATCCAATTTGAATCAACGCTATTTCAGCTTTTCTATTTTTTATCTAGATCTGCAATAATTTACACCTCTAGCGTGTCCATTTGCGATACAAATCGACTTCAAGAATAACCAGAATACTCACGAATGATGAGCACAGCAACGAGTTTCATGGCCATTCCAGGCGGTTCGCAGTCGCCGACGAACGGCTCGACGACGTACTGTCCGAAGCTGAGGCTGATGATGGCCATCTGTGATGGCTTCAGCACTAGCGTGGACACCCACGAGAAGAGGAAGGCCGGCAGCGGGCCGAATGCGTCCATGAAGTAGGCGTACTCGGCACCCGAACTCGTGTTCATCGTGCCCAACTCGGCGTAAGCGAGGGCACCTGCCAAAAGCGCATGGAAATTTCACATTAAATTGGAAAAACAAACTTTTTTCTTGTTTTTGCAATAGTTTTATTTTTTTAAGCATAGGAATAAATTAATATAAAATACTATTAATTACTACAATTATGACAGTTTTCAATTATTGTATATTTAATGATTTCAGGTGGAATCTTCAGGAAAATAAAAAAAATGGAAAATTATGTAAAAACAAATTTGATTTTTTAAGTGGTAAATTTAAAACGCTTTCCTGAACGTTGATTTCTCTTGTGATAAAAAATTGAGTAATATGAAAATTTTCATGCATATTATGAATAAAAATTAAAAACATGTAAAAAATCCCCTGAAAATAATGGAGAGGTTTCTTTCTCATCTCCGGTCTGAACACAATTATCTTAAGCCTCCGAGCCTCCTCTCTCCTTTTTTTAAGCAGGATTTCATTTACCACCTCCAGCTTAGCGAGATATAAAAACTAGAAACGAAAGCGGCGCAGAAACAGTTAAAAAACAATAACCATTTTCGTTAATAACACGGCAGAGGAGCCAAGTCACGATTATCATCCCCCTCGCAAGTTTTTGTTCGTCTTTCTTGTGCTAAATTTAGCAGAAACAATCGCGCTCCTCTCGAGGGCGAAAAGCAAAACGCCCACAAGACCAAGTTAATGAAAGTTTATGAGCTGCATTCAAGAGGGAGAACATTTCCAGCCGTAGATCATCTCGGCAGCAAAGAAAACACGCACATTTATTTGTCTGCTTTTGTGACGCAAAACGCAAATGGCTCCCTTGTGGATTAGTTTTGTCTGCTCTAACAATTAGAAAGGCTTAAGATTTTTTATTTAATTGGAAATAATTATTATATATTGTTATATATCAATCATTTTTAAAGGCTGTTTTATCCAATTTGAGGCTAACTTTTATAGATACAAATAAATTAATTTCAATTAAGATTAATTTTTTTACATAACTTCTTAAGAAAAAGTTTAACATTTAAATTTTCACTGTGGATTAATTTTTAAATAATCTTGCAAATTATGTATTTTTTTTTAAATCTTTCTACCGCAGGTTTGTTATCCTGAAAAAAATTTCAAACAACATATCAAGGTACTTTTGAAAGATCATAATTCACTTTTTAATTTAAAATTTATCCTACAAATTGTCAGTATAAGTTCAAAGTTGTCCAAGAGACAAAAAATTATGCAAAGATAAATAACAATTTATGTTGTAACATTTAGCTTTCACTTCTTAATGATAAAACTAAAATTCTTGACACGAAATAAAGCCCAACTCGATGTCAATAAAGGTCCGCGTGCACTGTTCAAGGCGGATGAGTGGGATGAGAAATTCTATTTTCGTTGATCGTCAAGATTTCACTGCCACTCTCGCTCGCGCTCGTCCTCAAGCCCACCGGGGTCCTCGACCCCTGCAGCATTTCATGTTATTTCTGAGAGACAAAAGGAATCCACCTGCAAGTGGCGCCACGAGATTTGTCCCCAGAAGTTTGCTTTGTTGGCTCACTGGGAGGCAATAAATAAGCCGCAACGGTGGAGCAATTTATTTTTTCGCGAAATCCCGCCGGCGAAATTCTACTCATCTTTGTTTCTCACCACGTTTTGCGACGAAGCAATAAAATCGTGCGTGCGCCACCCCCGGGCCAGTGTTATTATTGGGTCTATATTATGACGAAGGCCGTAAAACTATTTGCAAGGCGAGAGTGTAATTTACGTCATACTTTTTATGACTGCATCAGAATCCATGGTGTTTGTCCTTTTCAGTTTTTTCCATGGCAAAGAAGACTCATTTATAAAATTTGGACAAAACAATCGAATCGTCATTGGTGCCAAAAATATAAAAAATGAAAGAAAATAATTTTTCTGGATAAAAAATATTAAAGGATTATGTACGTATAAAAAGATTTAATTTCATTTAATACTGATCGATGTCAAAGTAAATTTAATTAGATATACAGACAAATAATTTAAATTATGTGCAGTTAGTGGATGTTTTTTTTAAATAAAAATTAATAAGTGCATTAATAATTATGTATGTAAAGAAAAATTATTTTGGTATCTAAAGTTTTATTTTTTATTTATATATTATTATTTTATTTTAATAATTTTTTTAAGTAATAAAAATTAATATAAAATTTAAAAAATATACTAGTATAGCCATTTTAATTATTTTTTGCTTATTGTATAAAGTAAATGAACATGACAATTTTTACTTATTCCTGTGAACAAGACTTCTATGGTATTCGTGTTGCTCAATTTTAAAATTATTAAAAAAATGTAATAATTTATCAAATTGTATATCTAATTGAAATAGAAAAAAAAATAATCCCTCGCGTCACAAAGGAAATAAACAAAAAGTATAACATTGAATATTTTAAACAAGTGAATATCACAGTAGGTGGTAACAATTTAAGAACAACGTAGGAGCAAAATTAATAGCAATATGTTAATCATCAAGTTGAAGGTCAGCAGAATGCAACCGGGCATAATTTTATCCTCCGCCGAGCCAAAACCACCTCAATTCGCCCTAGTCGCTGCCAACAGGCAATCGAAAGTTCCACCTTGAGTGCGAATTCCTTCACTTGAACTTGACAACAAGGAAAATTTGCGCCCATTAATAAACGGTGCTTAGCCTTTCTGTGTGAGGCACTTGGCTTTTCACAAAAGCGGGGCCAACAGAACGTGTTCTGGGTGAGAAGAAAATCAAGCGCAGCATGGATGGCGTTTGAACCCAAGCGACACCAAAAACTACTCTTGATCTTGGAAACTATTTTTGAACTATCTGCGCAACAGTCTCCTTCTTGAGCGCAGATGAGATATGAAAATTTTAAATTTGGATCAGATGCATTATTTATTATAATTTTGACTGAAACGAAAACAAAATATTTTAAAATAACATTTTTGCCATGAAAAAGTATGTTAAGTTGTGTTCTTTTTCCACTGTACATATGTAAAGAACACATGTTTACATTCCTGAAAAGCGCAACAAAGTTGTCGAACACAACTGTTGTTGTTGTTTTTCGAAACGCGCAGCAGGTGAATCAGGGTGTTTCGAAATCGGATCACAGAAGAACAGCCCTGCCCGCCGCCGCTTTATTGTTCTCAGCCTAATCGAGGTGCCTTGAAATTGGGCTACACAATATGCATGTGGGTCACAAAGGCAGCTAGGTTAGACGGAGATTTTTATTCGCATCCGATGATGCAAGTAGATGCTGGTATAAACCATCCAACACACACGTGGGTGCTATAATTAAAGTGGCGCAGCTCGCGACGACCGAGCGAAATGTGCTCCGCCAGACTTGAGTTTTACGACTTCATTTGCGGCCAACGAAAGTGTAATTTTATACTTTTCGAGAAACAGTTTGAAGAGGTGTACTCATTTAAAACTAATGGTGATTTACTTATTACACCAACGAGGAAATTTATGTTATCGGCGACCAACCCCTACCCCAAGAACAGGTATTTTTTATTTCTTGAGAAATAAGAAATAATTTCAATATATGTGAAAATGGTATTTTAGTTCAGCAAATCATAATTTTAATATCTTTTTTTGCCTATAATATTACATGGGATAATTAAAAACAACAATTAAAAAAAATATTTATTTAAAACAGACAGGCAAAATTAATTGAGTTTTTCTTATTTTTTTTCTTTTTTGTCGACGTTAGGTTTTGTTTAATTTTTTCACAAACATTTAAAATAATTTAATCGTAAGGAAATAAAAAGTAAGTTTAAAAAGTAAAAAATATGGGATCTGGAAATTTCATTTTTAAAGTTGATATCTTTGTTTTGAGATCACAATTGCATGAAGTAATTTAAATTTAAGATTATACAATTTTTCCTATGCTTCATAATTTAATAATTATAAAAATAGGTTGCAGCTTAAAACGCAACAAAATAATTTTTAGAAATTAAATGACTGTGGTTAAAAGCTCGATCGTGTTCCGGAAGTGTGATAAGTTTTTGTTATATTTTTTGTACTCACCTAGCAGCGAGAGTACACCACACGCAATCCAGATAACGAAACTAAGGCCGACAGAACCAGTTCGATCTAACACTCCTGTCGGCGACACGAAAATTCCGGACCCTGCGAGACAGACGAAGAAGTGACAAATTTATTGCAAATGTTTTGGCGGTGAGAGAAATGCAAAAGGTCAATGCAACGTGCCAGTGATTTGCATTCCGTCGCACAAGACAATTGACCCGATTTTTATTCTGAATTATTATATTGTGTTTGTAAATGACCCAGAAAGGGACTCTCTTGCTTATATTGCTACAAACAACAAATCATACTCGTCTATCTTGGTAATACGCAACCCGGTCAACACAGAAATTTTAATATTAAATAATAAACTGTATTAATTTAAAAAAGAAATAAAATTTTATTTAAAAATATTAATAATTTATTCAAAAAATAAATAATAATTTCTATACAAAAATTTATAACAATTAAGTTTTGTAACTTCTTAATCATTTTTTTTTTTAGTTTCAGATGAAAAATAATCTAATTAAATTCAACGTTGGCAGATTTATGCAGGAAATATATAATGCTTAAAAAAATTATGGAAATTGCATTATGACGGATATCGACGAAATTTTGAGAGATTTTGACGCTTCCAAACTCACCTATCATGGTCCCGACAATTAAAGCCACCCCACTGAAGAGTCCCAGCCGTCTCTTGAGGTGAAGAGTGTCATCCTTAGCTGACCCCGGCCCCTCCAGCATGTGTTCCTGCCCCTCGCCCTCCGCCCCCGGCGGGTAGGTCGTTCCGTTCCCATTCCATTGAATTGTTCCTGTTGGATTCCCTGCTGCGGCATCTGGAACACGTGGAGATAAAATTTATTAGATTGTCAGATTTTTTAGCCTTAGAAAGAGAAGTTAGGCAACCTGCTGGACATGACTTTGCTGCCGGTTGTCTATCAGAATTCCAGGCAAATATTTATTCGTTTATTTTTTACTATTGTTTTCATATAATTTTCTATTTTAACTTATATAAACTTACTCTTTTTTATTATGACATTTTATTGCCAAATAAAAAAATGTGGATTTTTATACTTAAGGACGTTAAGGAAGTTTCTTCACGATTCTTATGCAATTGTGATTTTTTGTTCTACTAATTTAATATTTCTTAATTTTCAGGCCTAGTTAAAATTGTATCAGTATCTAAAAAAAAAAAACACTACAATGTAAATTTAAAAATTTAAATGATGAAAGTAATATTCGTTTTCTCTGCGCATGTTTTTAATTTATTTCCATTTTTATCATTGCAATAATTATTTGGTTGATTTCTTACGAGTAATTTCGTAATTATATATTTTTCAATTCAAAAGAACGGCGCCAAGTTACTTGTTGCGAGAAGTATTTGGGTTAGTTTTAAAGCGAGACGTTTGGAAAAAAATAGTGAAGCCGATTGTAAAAGAGAATTGGTTGCAAGGTGAAGCAGGGGCTTAAAATAAGACTCTCCGTCAGTGTCGCCGTTCCTATGAGCTAATCGGCTGCGGCGCTTGAATTTTTCTTCAAGACTTCTTACGAAGTTAAACCCATGTTTTCTTTTGCTCAAGAGAGAACGAGGAAAATAAATTTCGTAATTTTCAGTTCACAACTATTCCTATTTACCTAAAGGGAAGCAGGAAATTAAAGTACAAATTTTTAATTATTAATAAAATAAATTATTATAATTTTTCAATTTAATAAATCAGGAATAGAATAAAAATGAAAATTTAATTTTGAAAATGATAAAAATATTTTTTTATTTGATTGCTGGTGCACTTGAGGAAGACAAAATGTGCTCTTCAAGGTGACCTTAACTATTTTTTTGAGTAGTTTTGTCCTTCTTGAAAAGTTTGATGCTATTTTTTTTTAATATTAAACTAAATATTACAAAATTCACAATTATCAAAATGATATTAATTTATGATCGACTAATTGAATAAAAAAGTCTGAATTTTCCGGATTTTCACCTTTGGTTTCATTGAAGGCGAGAGAGACGAGGGTGTCGAGGCCGTTGGACTTTTCGAAAGGGGGCGCGTCGCTGGTTAACTGGATTGAGTGTTGCGAGCCACAACAATGCAGAATGGACTTGGAAAGCGTGTCTTTCATTCTCCGCCCTTGAGCTTGCAAGGGCCCCGACGACACTCACGAACCGACTGACGGAAGACGTGTGTTCGGCCGGACAAACCAACTGTCGGCCGCCGCGAGAAGCGCGCTGGTCTTGTGACTTCGCGCGGCGCCTGGTACGCAAATAGCAGCGCGGCTAATTTCGGCGGCCAGAAAAGCTCCCCTCGCGCGGCCACCGACTCCTCACCCGCTTTTGTTTTAATTGACAGTAACCAACGTCATTTTTATAAATGATATGAATTGTAATTCTTACAATTTATAAAGTATAATCTAATTATATTTTTGTGATTAACAAATGCTTTAAGATTAAAATTTCTATTAAATTTTTTTTGCCAACTGACAGTTAAAAAATTTTACTGAAAGTACTCATTTTTAATAATGGACAGATATTTTTTTCAATCATAGTAATGTAATAAGTATTCCACGGAGAAAATCTTTTAACACTGACTGTATAAATTTAATAATTGTAATTTACATACATCCTCAGTGGAATATTGAGTTATTGGAGATGCGTTTGATTGAATTTTAAATTAAACCATAATATTATATTATGTTAATTAAATTTTAGATGTGTTAGTTTTGAAATATAGATTTTGATCATATCACATTCAAGAATTTTATGTAACAAAAATGTATTTAATCAGCTTAAAATTAATCAAAATTTGTTCAATTTAATTTTTACTAAGCATGCAGTAGGTGTTCCTCCTGTTTAATATTTGACATGATAATTTCGCTTTGCAAAAATAATTACAAACTTATCACTTCGTTATTTTTGGGAAAATAAAATAGCAATGAAATTGATTGCAAATGGACTCGTCCATGTTTATATTTCTCATTTGTCAAGAGCTGCTTAAATATTAACCAGCACGCTCTAATAATAATAAAACAGATCGATTTTCATATAAATTTGGCATTAACATTTGGAACAAAACGAGCGCCTCGCAAAATTCGAGCGGTGTCCGTTGTAAATGGAAGCCGTAATGGATCTGTTGGCAGCAGAACAAGTGGCATCCCAGAGTGCACAATAATAATAATAATAATAATGATGCCCCGTCAAGTTGTTTGCACACACACGTTCAAACATGGAATGTACAAGTATATATTCTCTATCATGCATTTGTACACACAATATTTGCGAATACCTGCCTCGGACAATGGCCAGGAATTCCTTTTATTTGTTTGTTTGCACGTACGCGGTTTTCTTGCAAAACAAAATTTCTGCCATATAATTTACGACGCTCTTTGTTCATTTTGCGGATCAGAGACAGAAGAACTAAATTATTTGGCAACTTGAAAGTGCGTGACTTTGCGAAAAGGACTATTATATTATTCGCCGCCGCGAGTTTTACTGCTCGGCAAGTTTAAGTCGACTCAAGCGGAGTTATGTTTAATTTTATGAGTGCTGTTTGCGTCGATTCGCGGAAATAGGGTCGGACTCTTTGAAATGGGTTAATAGCCTCGGGTGGATTAGCTTGGCAGTGCTGATTTTTCATCCAACGACGGGTACTTTGTGTTTAAAATTTAATTACTTTTAGCAGATAAATTTTTTAACTTATTAGAGTCTCTTTGTTGTTCTGATGAATCAGAAATTAAGAAAATAAAATCTTTTTTATGAATTGTTTTTAAAAAATTCAAATTTTTGAATCAAGTATGATTTCCGTAATTTGAATTCATTAATCATATGGAAACGTAATTTGACTACTGGTAATACGTCTTCTACTGAATAATTTATTATTATTTTTGTTTAATTAACAACTTATTAATATCAAACGACTCCACATAAAATATTTGCAATTTTTCCTTTTTTGGATGATAGGATAAAATTAGCAGTCCAAGAAAAATATAAATAATTAACTAATGTTTACAATTATAAAATGATAAAAAGTTCAAGCTGTATTATTTATTTGTCTATTTTCCATTTTTTATATGTATACAATTTATTTCATATTTATTGGATAAGCAATCATTCAATTCACTTCTTTGATTACCTCAGTTGGTAAACAGACTAACAAATTTTCTCTTTCTCGCTGTTGACGTTTTTATTTTAATTGCAGATGGACGCTGAATGGACTCTCTGCCGCCGGTTCAAATAACACGGACGATTCAAACCTGCCGCGTGAGAAAGAGCGGCGAGAAAATAAAGAAAGCTTCTGTGAACGCCGTGGTCATCACGTAGCCACGGCAAAACTCATCATTTGTTGTTTGCATCTCACGGCCAAGGGTTAAAGAGGAGCACGAAAATATATTCAGACAAAATTTAAATGTCATTTTGAATAAATCATCCAATGACAGGAGGGACGCTTAGCTAAGCCTCGAACATTGTAAAAAACGGTTGCATCTTGAGTTTTAAGCATTCAAACTGGTAGCAAATGAAAAACAAGGGGTGAACACGTGCCAAAATGAAGCAAGACCATCAACTAAAGAAACCAGTGGAATTTTATTAAAAAATTATGATGGTTTTGGTTTAGAATTTCAGATTTTTTTTTAAATTATGACATTTTTTATCGTCTATATGTATTGTTTTCAAAGAAATATTCGTGTATGATCAGGCAAGTAGGTCGGTAAATGGAACAGATACAAATTTTAATTTTAACGAATTATAAAAATTAATTATTAATAATAATACCATGGAAATGAGGAGATCGGGCTTTTCCTCGTTGCAGAAAAATTGTTTTTTATTCAAAAACAAATGGCTCACTTGAATAAAAAACAATTATTCTGCAACGAGGAAAAGCCCGATCTCTTCATCTCCATGATCATCTCCTCGAGTGTCAACTTCTTCAAACAAATAATAATATCAACACATAATTTTTACAGAAAAATAATCATTAGTACTAAAACAAATATTAATAATGTAAGACGCAGTATGTGCATTTAGCAATAAGAAAACTACATAAAATACAACCTTTCCTTGGCGAAATTAATTTGCAATAATCAGAATACTGCGTAGTTTCAGTGTACAGCTTTTTTGCAGCTGCTAATTTTATGTTAGTGCAAAGAGGAGACAGATATTTCAGCCCAGTTTTCCTTGTTTGGTCAGCATAATGGATGAAATATCCACCTGAGGATATGCAATTAAGTTATGAATGGCAGGCGAGCCTCCTCGTCCTCAATAAGGTGAGCCCATTATTTTCTTCTGTTTAGACTTTCCTTGTGGTATTTATGTGCATTTTTAAACATTTTAAACGTTTTACGAAATTTTTAAAATTATTTTTAAAAAGGAAATAATTATGATTTATTTTGTTTGAAAATATTCCTTTAAAAGTACATAAAGCTAAATGATATGTATATTTGTTGAAAAAAATTTCGAGCACATTATGCTCTACAGTGAATATATTTGTGAAATATGCTATACCTAGGTATATTTGAGTTTGAATTTGTAGGTAAGCCAAATGAGGCAAATACAATTATTGATAAGAATTTAAATAAATTTAAATCAGAAATGATCTAATTTCAACATAATTCTATCCTCCATCAATAGAGCTATGAGTGGCTATATATATTTTGCTCAAAAGCAGCATTTTATAGAAAAGTGGATAAACTGAATAACTGTTACTTTCCTCCTCAGCTCTGGCGAGACGAAATTGATTTTTGCGAGCAGACCCGCAGGAATTTTCCTCCTCCCTCGCAAAATGTCAACGTCAGTGGGAAAAGCTCTGCAGCAAAACTTTTTGCTCCTTCTGACGAGAGAGAATTTGTT